GTTTATATTGTATATATTCTTGTTTCCTTTTACGTTTTCTTAAGTTTTGGTAGGGATGAATGTGAGAACTTCTAGATTGGTTTCTATTTGCTAAAACTATCCAATGAAGATTCTCCCAAGTTTGGATGGTGATGATAGTATTTGATCATGTAAATATTGGCAAGGTACATGATTACCTCTTTCTAGGATGCTAGAATGTTTAAGAATTTCTTTTCTTTGTGCAAATGTAATTTTGTTTCATTTTTGCAACTTTGTTTGAATGCTTGTATCACTTATGTTCCAATAGCCACAAATTTGTGAGAAACCTCCATTGTTTACTAAATACATAGGATGACTGATAAATCTTGTTGAATACATTTGATTCATGCTTAATGTTGTGATTATTTTGATTTTGTGGAAGCATTAGATATGGTTAAGACATTTGTTTGATAATGAGCACAACCATATTCAGAAGTAACTTACCCGTGAGTGGTGAGAATTTTCTAACCCCTTTGAGCTTGATAGTTTAGATCCTAGTTTAGTGATGAACTTGGTATTTGCACATAGTTGGAAAGATAGTTCATCATTGAATTGTGTAGGATTCTAAAAAACATTCTTGAACCTTTGAAACTGTGATAAATTGTCTTCCTTGCCTCAAAAATCAAGGAACATTCACTTAAGGTTTGGTTAAAAACCAAGTTGGGGAGAGTGAAAAGAAAGTGGTAGGTTACTAAAAAAATTTGAAAAATTTCGAGCAAGCATAGGAAAGAAAATGTGAATATGAATTGTGAAAAAGAAAAAGAAAAAGCATGCTTGTTTGAATGAAAAAAAATTGATGAATAATGTGCAATAAAAGGTGTTGGAAGGGTGAGCAATAGAGAAAAGAAAGTGTTGTATGAAGTTGTAATGTGTACATAACCTTGTATAGTGAATGTTTCTTTTGCATTGGCAACTTTGAATCCATGGCCTTATAAATGTCCATTTGTTGTGAACCTAACCAAGCTACAACCTTTAAAGGCCTTAGTGATCTTCTTGCTTCCATAATTTCTTTTATGATTGATTAGATGAATGTATGAATTGACTTGTATTTGCATCATGTGTCACGTGAGTGAAATTTCCCCACGGTTGCAAACACGTTAATTTCTTCAATTCTTATTCGAAGAGGAGTCTTATAGTGATTCAAGCATGAAAATTTAGTTTTTACTTGAAGCATTGCATGATATTTGTTTAAAAACTAAATTCTTTTGCATTGTTCGATTCTAGGAAGTTGTAACCATTGCTTGAGCGTATTTGTTTGTTTATTTGAGCCATAAATCCATTATTGGTTGAATTAAATGCTCGAGCAAGTCCTCTTGTTTTCAATGAAAGACATACTTTTCTTGAGGACAAACAAATATCTAGTTGGGGAAAGTTTGTTGAATGTAAAATTTGCTTTAAATTGATCCTTAATTATTGACATTTTTCAACTCTTTTGTTATGTTTTGTTGGATTTACTCCATGATATCATGCTATTCTTTAATATTGTTGAAAATGTCTTTGATTGCTTTGATTTGTGTGTTATTATGCATAAATTAGGCATAAAAACATCAAAGTGTAAGACACAAGCAATTGGATAAGGAAGCCAAAGGAAGAGAAGAATTTCAGCATGTTCGCTGTGTGAACAGCCAGCGAGGAGTGCCAGTGAATGTTCGCTGTGCGAACTCATGGCGAAGTCCCAGCAAACCATCTCAGGAAGATGGCAGTAAGAAAAAGGCAGTAAGTTCGCTGGGCAAACAAGCAGCGAATGTTCGTTGTGGTGAAGGGCCATCGAACCATCCTAGACTGAAGTCAGTAGCTAAGGGACCCTAAGTTCGTTGTGCAAACTTGTAGCGAGGTTGTTCGCAATGCAAAGAATTGCTCGCACAAAAAACTTTATATATTTCTCATAGGAGGTTTAACTGTTTAGAGGCACTTCAGGTGTCTAAAAAGGTGTTCCATGGGTGAAGAAACGGGTTACATTACAAACATGACCAATTCTAAAAGTACTATATATATATATATATATATATATATATATATATATATATATATATATATATATATATATATATATATATATATATATATATATATATATATATATGTATTTATTTTTCACTATTTCTGGGAATCATAACCCATTTTTACACACAATAACTTCATTTCTTCACAAAAAGGTGATAATTTATAAATAGAAGCTGAATTCGCATCTGAGTTCGATTCTTCGACGTGGATGCTCATTCATCTTCTTCCAAGACTTGTAAAGCAAGCTACCATGGTTATGGGTAGCTAATTTCCTTTATATCAAAGGTAGAGGTAGTCTACCATTAGCTTGTATGTATTTTTTTTATTGGCCTTGTATGTGAACAAGTGATGATTAATATATGATGAATATTTTTGTTCTTAATGATCCATTCTTGTTTTGTAAAACTCTAGACATAGATTTTGTGAAACTTGACCTAAAGTATTCATCTATCAGTTTATAGATTGGAGAAATCGGTCTATGGTCGATAGTTGCTTTGTGTTGAACTTAAAACTTACTATATTAGTTGTTGTATAGAGAAATTGTGTAGTAATGAATACGGTATTTCTCACGGCGCCGCTCTAGACATATACGGTGTTGAGAGAATGCATGACATATTAATCGGATCCAATTTCACATGCAAGATTGAAAGAATACGTACAAGTTAGGGTAGATGAAAACTACTTTTGATATACTTTTTTAATATAAATATTTAGAATTTATAAGCTTTGCTACTAAAAACGTGACAATCTTATGAACAAAAGTTTTAAAACCCTTTAACTACGATTCGAACAAATGCTCACAACCTCAGTTCTTAGGTTTCCTGGAAAATAAAAACATATGCTAAGTTTTTTTTATATCCAAGGAAAATGCAATGCACATATGTTGGGTTTATTGAGCCAGGTGGTTCCCACTCAAGTCCAGTTACCTCCGTTTTGACTAACATTCCTTCCAAGAATTTCATCTCAAACATTGGTCTCTCCATGCTTGAAGAGAACAACCCTGAAGAAGCTTACTGTCATCACATGAAGGCCAAAAGATCTCCATATTACATATATTCAATTCAAGGCTCAATCCTAGACGTACCTCTCGAATGATGTTGATGACTTTAACCACCTCCTCTAAATCCCCTTCAATGGTTCCATCATCAAGATACCATACATGAAGAAGTAGCTTGCAATTGTCTTTGATCTTATGAATAATAGGGTGTAACACAAGAAAAAAGGAGCGGCCTTAACGGGCCGCCTTGTTCCACTCTAATAGTTGACATAATATGATCATTCCCAAGGTACAACCTCAGTGTTTGAACATAAAGAAACTCAACCCACAAAGAAATAGATGAACATCTCACCTTACTTCGCACAACATGGCCGATCGATCAACCATGTTAAAAGTAATTGAGAAATCTATCGTGAGCATAGCCAAAAAAATAATCTCCATGTTTGTTAAACACCATGTTAGCACCATGCAAAATGACCTTAACACCGTCTGATACTCAGACTCCAAACTAGAAGTTATTGAGATATTATGCCATATATTTACCAACTTCTTTCATAGCAGAATTGGATACCAGACACCTCAAAATAAAACCTAAATCAATTGGTCGTATCCCACCACCACACTTTAATAACGACATCAAAGGTGTGGAAGCTACAAACTCTATCAATTTCATTGGGCATCTTCCTCCTAGCCTTAATTTAATAACTAGAATGATTGCACATGAAAGATCTCTTGGCACAACAAAACCTTCACCTCACATAAAGTATAATATGTGTGGTGTGAGGCTCGCAAGCCATCTCTTCCATAAGATGTCCCTATAGGAAACAATTTAATGCCTCCAAAACCTTTATTATATCTGCAATATAAAGAGTCATTCCAGATAACCCAACACTTTCACAATTGCTGTGAAGTGACCATCTGCAATCTTGCAGAGCTATCATCTTTTTATCTTCCTTCTTAATATCAACTCTCCCATAATCCAAATTGTCTTGTCTAGAGCTGCTCAATATACATTATCAACTAACTTATCAAGACCATCAACGTTTCTCCAAGTAGTCAAACACTACAAAATATGATGTTGTTACAAAGACTTTTGATTCACAAACTTTCGACCCCGCTTATTCTAAAGTTTGACCATCTTTAAAATGCAACGAAGAAAAAGTAACAACCGAATTCAAACATATAAAAATTTCAGACTCAACAACTACTTTATACATATTGAAAGAGAGTATGATGACAACTAAAAGGTGAAGATAGGTGTTATTAGCACCTATATCCATGGTACATTTTCCTTTCAAATTTTATTCACTCACAGACAACTCAAAACGAATTATTCACTCCATCATAATAATAACTGAGTCTAGCCTATTATAAATCAATACGAAAACAGAAATGTCGACAAACAGCAGGCAGCCATCGTACCTGTCTCTACAAAAATGCAGCAAGAAACCAAAAGGTGTATTTATCACATGAAAACCACACAACAGATCTGATCCAATGTTTCATAATTGCTAATATAATATCAAATCACATTAATTTCTTTATAACGTTATAAACTCAATTATTAGTTCCCTTATTAAATTGATTACTTTAGCAATGTATTAATATTAGCATTCAATATACTTTTTGTACAACAATTCAATATTTATGAACTGGTTGGGTGGAATAATTAATAGGACTCCTTCTAACTTTATTTGAGAGTGGATTCTAATCATGTTTTAGTTCAAGTACTTCATTTTTGGTCAAATAAGTGCTTATCTCATAAGTGCTTATATATAAGTCTAATGTATCTACTATCTATTGATCATAAGTTTATACCATAAGCATATTATTAGTTTTTATCATGAGAAATGACATCAATATTATGCATGCTTGACACATAAAACTCCCACACAAACATCATTCTAAGCAAATAAGCAACTAAAATTTCAAAGATTTCTACAAGATGTAAATCATCTAAACAACAAACATAAGAATTAAACTAAAGTGCACCATGGCTTACAGTTACTTTCTTCATACTCCCAAAAGGATAGCACCCTCTAAACCTTTTTGAAATCTTGTTTTTCAAAGACCTTGAGCCGCGAGGAGATCTCGATAAGCTTGCGTCTCTCATCGAAAACGAAGAGGACGAGGACGAGGACGAGGATGACCAAGACGAGGAGGACGACGAAGGCGACACATGAGACTTCCTCGATCCAACAAGCCTAGGCAAAATGGTAAAAAACATGTTGAGCTTTGAGTTTCTTCTCTTAGCATTGGAGTTATTAGTACTAGAATAAGAAGGTGGAGGTGTGAGAGGAGGTAGAGAAGTTTCTGACAAAGGATGTTTAGGTGTTCCAGGTTGTGCTTCCCAAGTGAAAGGAACAGCAACTGATGTTTCACCATAATAAAACACTCTCCTTGAAGATGAGTTTGCATTTGAAGTTTCCTTGGACATTAGTCTAGAGAAGAATCTACTATCTTGTGTTATTCTAAAGGACATTTCAGATGAATGATGATGATGATGATGATTGACACAATCATTCAAAACCATTTTAGAGTGTAGCACTCTCTATTCTCTAGCTTAAAAACTTAGATCTAAGAAAATTGCCTCAAGATTGGAGTCAAAAAACAGCTACATGTGTAGACTCTAGAGGCATTATTTTTTTTAATGGTTATGACTCTTAGGCAATATAAATAGAAATTTCACGTTGTCCAAAGTAAATGAACAATTGGATTCTTAATAGGGGAATGGAGTAATTTTGAAATAGTTTTACATCAAGAATGTGGGGACTTTGTTGAATATATGTTTTGGAATGGGACCAATTTAATTGTTAGGAAATTTAATGCCTGAAATTACTCCTTTCCCACTTAATCAAATGGGTAGCTGCACCATTATTTTTGGAAGCTTACAAGACATTGAGCAAGAGATTGGTGCATATATACTTGTTGTGGAGCATATAGCATTTATCAATCAGTAAAATCTAGCATATCATGGTAGTTAATAATAGGTAACGATCGTATGGTGGAAGGATGACACCTATTTCGGGGCCAAATAGGCTCCATTGCGAGGGTACATAATGATAATGTTCTTTTATTTATGTTAAAAAAAATATGGTTGAATTTAATTTATCTTTATAAAATCGACTTGTATGACAAGGATTGCATTCGATAGTGGAAATTTGATAGCAGGTGATCAATCGAATTTTAAACGAGACTCTTGATACTATATTAATAAATGTGATTGCACCTAACTCAACTCAATTACGCTAGCTTGTAGAGTGAGGATTTCTCTCACTTATAAACTCATATTCCCGTCATATATTATCCGATGTGTAATGATTGGAAAATCTTCATTGATTATCAAAAAGATTTACATGAAAGTTATATAGAAGTATCAATGGTGTATGTACAATAGAAACTTCTAACTACCATAACTAACTAAAATAACAACTTCTAACTAACTTTTTAGTAAGTGTAACAAGTCACTACTTCTAACTATCTTAGGATTACTTGAGAAACAAGTTAGTCTTCTCTAACTTGTTCATGGTGTAATACACTACAAGAAAAATTGTCTCCAGCCACGTGATTTAGTGAAGTGAAAATCACGTGGCAAAATATTGACAGTTGTGAAGTGATTTTCACGTCACTAACCTGTTTAATATTAAAATAATATGAAACAAATATAACACATGGCCTGTCAGATTTAAAAATTAAAAAAAAATGTTAGTGACGTGAAAATCATGTCGCAACATGTAAATTAAAAAAAAATAATAACTAAAACGACAGATCTATTGAAGCGGGAAGGGGAAAATTTTTAAAATTTGATTTGCCACGTGATTATCACGTCGCTACCATTTAAGAGGGAAAAATATCTGACTTAGAAGTGATGGTTGACTGTGCTACAGGTTGTAAAAATGACTGTAGGAACTTTTGTGACGTGAATATCACGTGGCAAAGTTGCGAAGTGATATTCACGTCGCTAACCAATTAATGTGAATAAATTAATTATTAGCCGTTATATGTTGCGAAGTGAATTTCACGTGGCAAATTTGCAAAGTGAAATTCACGTCACTAATATTTTATTTATGGCACGCGTGAAAATTCCTGAGACCACATTTATTACACTTCTTTTTCTTTCTCTCTCAGTTGCCTTCTTCTACCATTTTCTTCTCCTTATTTGTTCATCTTCTTCCCAAAATTTTCTTTGTTTTTCTCAAGTTGTTTCTTGATTTTCCTTGTACAGGTAATATATTTTTTCTTTCATTAGTTATTGTTGAATTTTGTTTTTATTAATTTAGTTTTAAATGTCATTTTATGTGGGTTTAATATTTGATTTTTTTGTTGTCAAATTATCATTGTTAGTGAGAAAAGGAAACAAGAAGGAGGTTGAAGAAGATTGAAGTAGTGTGAAGGAGAGGTATTTTTGCTATTTTATTTTTTATTTTAGTTTGATTTAATAAGGTTGGATTGTTGTTAATATTTTTTTGTATGTTTATATTATTATTATTATTTATTATTAAAAAACGAATTTTGTAGAAACATTATTAATAATAAAACAAATTTTTGTTTATAAATGAGAGAAGTGAGAAAAGGAAAGAAATTTTTATATATAATAACAATATTAAAAATTGAATATTTATAGAAAACTGAATATTAAAAAAGAATTTTGTAAAAATATTATTAAAAATAAAATGAATTTTTGTTTATAAATGAGAAGAGTGAGAAAAAGAAAGAAATTTTTATATATAGTAATAATATTAAAAAATGAATATTAATAATATTTTTAATTTTTATGTGTTATTAAATTCATTTATGTTTAGTTACTTTAAAAACTAAATATCTTATTTTTAATCTTTTATAAAAATAATATTATATTTGTATTATTATTAATATTTGTTATTAAAAACAGATTTGTGTTATTAAAAATAGAATAATATATTTAGAAATAAAATATTAAAAACAGAAATATATTATTTTTAATGTATTATTTATTTTTTAATTATAAAATATTAAAAACAGAATATTAATAAAATATAAAAACAGAATATTAAATTTATTTTTAATTTTTTATTATTTTCATATTTATCTGTACTAAAACCAAATTTTTATATATAGTAACAATATTAAAAATTGAATATTAACAATATTTTTAATTTTTATGTGTTATTAAATTCATTTATGTTTTATTACTTTAAAAACTGAATATTAAAAACTAAATATCTTATTTTTAATCTTTTATAGAAATAATATTATATTTATATTATTATTATTATTATTATTATTATTATTATTATTATTATTATTATTATTATTATTATTATTTGTTATTAAAAACAGATTTTTGGTATTAATTAGAAATAGAATAATATATTTAAAAATAAAATATTAAAAACAGAAATATATTATTTTTAATGTTTTATATATTTTTTGGTTATAAACTATTAAAAACAGAATATTAATAAAATATAAAAACAGAATATTAAATTTATTTTTAATGTTTTATTATTTTAATACTTGTACTAAAAACAAATTTTTATATATAGCAACAATATTAAAAACTGAATATTAACAATATTTTTAATTTTTATATGTTATTAAATTTATTTATGTTTTATTACTTTAAAAACTAAATATCTTATATTTAATGTTTTATAGAAACAATATTATATTTATATTATTATTATTATTTGTTATTAAAAACAGATTTTTGTTATTAAAAACAAATTTTTATATATAGTATAAAATTATATATTAAAAACTGAATATTAAAAATCAAATAAATTATTTTTAATGTTTTATTTTTATTTGATTATATTTACACTAGAAACAATATTATATTTATATTATTATTATTTGTAATTAAAAAAATATTTTTGTTAGTATGTGTTATTAAAAACAAATTTTAATATATAGTATAAATTTGTAACCTTTAAAAACTAAATATATTATTTTTAATGTTTTCTTTATATTTGGTTATATTTACATTAGAAATAATATTATATTTATATTATTATTATTTTTTATTAAAAAAATATTTTTGTTTATTATATAATATTTTTGTTATTAAAAAAAGATTTTTATATATGTATAAATTTATATATTAAAAATATATATGTTTAATAGGATATATAGAATAAATGTTTAATAGTTTATGTTTAATAATATATAGCATGTGTAATAGTTAAAATAAAAAATATATATATTTAAGAAGAATATATATTAAATAGTTTTAATTTGTAATAGTTATTGTTTAATAGTAATTTTTGGTTAATATAAGTTTATGTTAAGAATATTAATAATAAGTTTGTTAATATTTGTATTTAATATTTTATAAAAATAATGATGGTATAAATATGCAGTATGGAGTATTATAGGTACTATCGTAGTTGGATGTACGATAGGTTGTATCCAGGAAAACGCGGACTTAAACCAAATTTTGAGGAGGGAGTTAAAGGGTTTATCACGTGGGCATTTTCTCAGGAATGTTGTCGAAGCGAAGGAGGAGTTAGATGTCCTTGTCTTAAATGTGGATGCAGACCTATAATTAGTGACCCAGAGAAAGTAGAACGACATTTGAAGAGAAGGGGTTTCATTGAAAATTATTGGGTTTGGACATATAATGGAGAAGAACTTCCGAGTAGCATACCAGAGAACAGTAATACACATTTTAGTATTGGGGTTTCATTGAAAATTATTGGGGTTTCATTTATTGTAATTTTAAATTTTTATTTTTGTAAAATATTAATTACATTTTAGTATATTATACACTTTTTATTTAAAAAATTTATTCTTAATTTTGATATTTATTTATATTTATTAATTTTTCTTATTTATATTTATTAATTTTCCAATTTAAATTATAATTAAAAATAAATTGTATTTATTAAATTGAGTGGATAAATTATAATTATAATTTTAAATATAAATTAATTTTAAACCTACCAAAAAATTAATTAATTTTAAAAAACTAAAAAAAACTCTTAGCCACGGGATATTCACGTCACAAGTTGTGAAGTGAAAATCACTTCGCAAGTTGTGAAGTGAAAATTACGTCACAAGTTGTGAAGTGAAAATCACGTCACAACTTTCTTACACACCTGCTGCGCCTGCTACGCCTGCTACGCCTGTTGGGTCTGAAATATTGTTTTATTTGTTACGACGTGAAAATCACGTGGCAAAGTTGTGACGTGATTTTCACGTGGCAACAAAGTTGCCACACGTCCTCCTGCCACGTGAATGGTCACGTCGCTAATATCAGTTTGTGAAGTGATTTTCCTTGTTGTGAAGTGAATTTCACGTGGCAGGATCCAGTTTTTTTTGTAGTGATACCTCCCGCCCCTACAAGTTTTAGAATAGATGTTAGTCATGTCAAACTTGGATAATAGAGTGCGAAATGGTTGTGGTAGAAGTAATTTGGTGAAAAAATCTAGCCAATTGATCTTTGGAAGAAGACGAAAGTAGCTTGAACACTTTAACTTATAGTTTTTCACGGACAAATGTGGAAACCGATCTCTAATGTTTGGTACGCTCATGGAAAATTGGATTAGCAAC